AAAGCCAGGAGCCTCAGGAGGCCAGGCAGGATGGGGTCACCCCCCCCCCCCCCCCCCCCCGCCCCACACACACACACAAAGACTCATTCAAGACAGGACAGAAAAGCAGTCCCCAGCAGCAGACACAGACACCTGGAGCAGACGCCCGGGGCCTGGAGGCCAGGCCCTTGCACCTGCCCACAGCCTGCCGGGCAGCTGGCCAGTCCCTGTGTCCAGAGGAGCCCCACTGCTCTGCTGGCCTCCGCCTGCAGGGCACTTTGCACAAACTCCCACCACCCCCTATGGGGCTGCGAGTGGCATGAGGATGAACCCAGACCACCGGCCTGGAAACCTGCAGACTCAGCCCTTGGGGGGCGGGGGGAAGCTGTGGCCCCACGCTATCTGTGTCTGTTTCAGAAAACACATTGCCCCTTCCTTCCTTTCCCCCACCTACTCTCAGTGCCCTCCCAGCTCCCACGGATCCAAGGCCCACACCCCTCCCATGTTCTGCTGCTACTAGTGAGTGGCCCCTCTCCCCACCAAATCAAACTCCCTGGTGGCAGAAGCACCCCTGGGTCCCTCACGCAGAGCACAAATGGACAGAGCCTCACTCTCTCTTGACTGTCATCACCAATCCAAGCTCACAGGCATCTCCGAGCCTTCTCAGCATGGCCCCTGCTCCAGCCCCCCCGCCCCCCCTTCCTCCTGTCTGCTAGCTGGTGCCTGTGGAATCCCAATGACCAAAATGCTAGGACGGTCCCCTCTGTCGATGTCAGCATCTCCCGGATCCAAAGTAGGGTCAGATGTTTCATTTTTAGGCTCTGCCAAAGGAACCGGGCAGGCAGAGGTAATGGCGGGAATTGGGGAAGGTGCTGCATGGGCGGGGCCAGGCCAGGTGGACCAACAAGGCAGGGAGCTGGGGGGCAAGTGGGCTCAACAGCTCCCAGCGGGTGGGCACTCTCCACGCATGTTCAGTTCATACGTGCTCCTTGCACATCTGACTCTGTGGGCAGAGGGGAGCAAAAACACAGGCACCACGGGCCAGGCTCTGTAAGGGAAGAACCACCACAGTATCCCAGGTACAGGGAGGGGGAAGCACGTCCATGACCAGGAACCAGGAAGAGCTGCTTGGCAGACTAAGCCTGGGGAGGAGTCTCGAAGGATGACACAGAAGCAATAATAATATCGTCCTAATAGTAATAATAATAATACATCATTGCTATCATCACTATTACAGCAGCTAACACCTGCAGAGGGTTTTTTATAGACTAGGGTCACATGGTTCACCCCATACTCCTCTGCTCATTTCCCAGGGGAGGGAACAAGCTTACAGAGAGCACCTGCCTGGGTTCCAGACGGGAGCACCCACATGGCTCTGGCTTCCTGACTCCAAGTGCCTGCCACTGTGGGCCCTGGAAGACCTGGACTGAGTTCCTGGTTCCTGGTTCCAGCCTTGGCCCAGCCCCAGACAGTGAGGGCACCAGGGGAGTCGGGGGGGGGGGTGTCTATCTCTCTATGCATCTCTGCCTCTCAAATAAATTAACAAAATGGGTGTGCTCTCTGCCTCTCACTCTCTATGCATGCCTCTCAAAGAAATGAGGCTTAGAAAAATTAAGACAATAAGAAAGCACCGGAATCCAGATTAGAATCCAAGTTTCAAGTTTCTCCGTCTCCCAGGGCCAGTTGCACAGGCTGGGGTTCCAGCACATTCCAGCGGGGCCTGAGCACAGGCATAGGCAGAGGGTGGCGAAATACAGGCTCAGGACGAGTACCTGGACAAGGCATCTGGAGAGGCAGTGGGGCCAGGTGACCGATCACCTGGTGCACACAGCCAGGCACCCGTCCTTACTAACAGGTAAGGGGGGGGGCCTGGGAGGTCTGACCCAGCTGCACCCGGGCCGCAGGATGGATAGGTAAGCGCATGGGGCTGAGAGAATGGAAACTTGAGAGGCCACCCCAAGGGTCTGGGTGACAGCCTGCAGCGTGGGGAGGTGAGAAGGGGTGGGGGTGTTGCACAAGGGGTGGAAGCTATGCACGTGTGAGGAAGGGCCCCTGGGCATGCGAGTGCACCTGTGAGTGCGGGGGGGGGGGGGGGGCCCTCCCAAGAAAGCAGTACAAAATGCACCCAGTTGTCCCAGGACGTTGGCGCGAAGTGCGGGGGGCGGGCCCCTCCCAGGAAGGAAGAGGAAGAGGCTGCAGTCTTTCCAGGGAGGTGGCGCCGAGTGCGGGGGGGGGGGGCCCTCCCAGGAAGGAAGAGGAAGAGGCTGCAGTCTTTCCAGGGAGGTGGCGCCGAGGCAGGCAGCGGGGAGAAGAAGACACAGGACCAATCAGTGGACGACCGGAGCAGGAGGCCTTTGGCCAGCAACAAGCCGTCAGCTCACGGCTCTGCTAGGACAAGAGGTTCCCACAGGCCTGGCATCTGGGAGGGCCTCGGAGAACCCTTGTTAACAGAACAAGGGAGTGAACTTGACAGCGGACCTGGCTTTCCCTGCCAGCTAACTCCCATCCCCTATCTCCAGCCCCGTCCACCCAAATAAGGTGTTCCGAGGGGGCGGGGCAGCCACGTGCCATGCCTATACCCCGCCTGCAGCTCTCTTTCTGGGCCTCCTTGTCCACCACAAATCTTTGAGACAAACATGCTCCTCCTACATGGCTCCAAGCCGGCTTCCTACTTTCCCAGGTCAAGGCCTCCCTCTCCGCTGGTTCCAGAGCAGAGAAGATATTGCCAAATGGGCTCCAAGCTTTCATCCCAGCCAGGACACGCCCTGCTTCTCACCAAGAACAGCACGCTGTGACCCTGACCGGTACCTCTGCTCAAAGACCTGCCAGCAGGCCAAAGGCTCTCCAGGGAGGACTTCCTGGACCCTGGCTCTGGGCCTCTCCTGAGGATGCCCTGTGCCCCGCCCTGCATGGAGCCCAGCTTCTGCCCTAGTGGGTGAAGGGGGGCTTCCCTCCAGGACCCAGAGCCCAGGCCCTTTCCTGGCAGCTTGGCTGCAACCCTGTACTGTGAAATGATGAGTCCCATTTGGTGCCCGGAGAGAAGAGGGGACCAAGCCAGTGTGCTCCACACACACGCAGAGCGCTGTGCCTTGGAGTCATGATCCTAAGCCCTGATGACAAAGGCAGAGGCAGAGGTCTGAGAATGGTCTAAGCTACTGTAGAGTGTTACCAGAAGCCCAGTTTGCATCCAGAAGCACCAGGTATTTGTGTAACGAGCACATTGCCTTGGGGAAGCAGAGCGGCTCAGGGCAGCGCTCCCTCGGTCTCACTGGGTGCTCCTTTGGTCTAGCTCAGTGCTCCCTTGGGACAGGAAGCTGGCAGACAAGAAGCTGCCAGCCAGCTCTCTGCCCTGTGGGGCGTGCCCCTCCTGACTGCTCCACTGCCCCCAGGGAGCTCGGATAGACAGATATTACAGTGAGCCCAGGGAAGGGGGCGCTGCAGCACAGCTGGCCAGCCAACAAGACTGAGGGTGGGCAGAGTGTGTGCTCTGGTTGATGGGGGGGGGGGGGTTGGATCGAGGTGGGCTGACTCCCCTAAGGCTACAAGGAGTTTCCAGGGTCTAGGGAACTGCTGCTCCCCCCCCCCCCCCGCCGCCACACCCTCCAGCCTTACCTTGCACCCACCAGGAAACCCTCACTTTGGAAGAGGCACCCCAGTCTCCAGAGGCTGGATGGTAACAGAAAAGAAGGCAAGAGATGCACAGCAGGTGATGGAGGATCCAAAATCCTCACTGAGGAGTCAGAAACCTGCTACAGGGGCTGGCGTTGTGGTGTAGCAGCTTAAGCCGCGACCTGTGACACCAGCATCCCTCAGGAGCACTGGTGGGAGTGCCGGCTGCTCTACTTCTGGTCCAACTCCCTGATAATGCACCAGGGTAAGTAGTGGAAGATGGCCCAAGAACGTGGGCCCCTGCATCCACGAGGGAGACCTGGATGGAATTCCAGGTTCCTGGCTTCTGCCTGGCCCAGCCACGGCCTTGCAATCTGGGGAGTGGACCTGCAGATGGAAAAATCTGTCTCTCCCTCTCTCTGCATCGGATGAATGAGTAAGTAGGTAAATCTGGCGGGAGAATCCCTCGACGCCCCTTCCAGCTCTGAGCATCTAGGACTCTCAGACCAAGGGCTGTGCTTCCCTCCTGACGGTCATGTCCCCGGCAGCAATCACATAGCAGACACTTAAACAGTGCACCGGATGCCTGCATGAAACAGATCCTCGGTCAGCCCAGCAGCCACTGGAAGCCAGGAGGAACGTCTTCCCCTGGACATGCACTCTCCGAAGACCACACAAGGTGCAGGTCTGGCAGGAGCCTGGGCAGGCCTGAAGGCTGGCTGCAGGGGCCTCCCCAGGCCCCACGCGTCCAGCCTGGCTGCCTGCCGCTCTCACCCTCGGGCGCCTTCTCCGCCAGCCACCACTTGTAAGAGCAAGACCCAGGCTGCTCACCCAAACTCTGCGTGAAACCCAGGGAGACAAAAAGGGGCAGCCCCGCTGGGGAGAGAAGGGGATGGCGACCCAGGAGCCATGCAAAGAAGATGGGATTGGATCGATCGCCAAAACGGATGAACCCAAGAGATGCAAGAGCTTCCTGAAGCCCCGGGTGCTGGAAGCCCTGCCCCTCCTCGGCGGCCCCCTCCTGCTGCCCACCGCCCCGCCGCCCCTCACGCCCCCTTGCATTGCTCCGTGTCCACACTCACACCACCACGCTCCACCCAAGTGTCCAGCCTTCCGAGTAACAAAGGAAAACTCGCCCCGATACTGAGTGCGAGCAGCCCTTTCCCCCTCGGCAAACCCCAGCCCCAGGCTCAAAGCTGCGACGAGACGAAAGCGCGGGCAGCCGCCGGGACCACCCCGCCGCCAGGACCTGCCTCCCCTTCGATGCCCCTCTCTCTTCCGACGCCCACCTCCTTGTTTACGTCTCCCAGGCCCCAGTGGGGACGTGGCGGGGGCCGCACCCACCCACTGAAACAAACAAACCAACGCGCCCTCCCGGCCCCACCCCGCTACCTCTCCGCTCCCAACACGGAGCCAGCTTTGCCCACCTCCCAGCTGCTCACCTGCACGGCCCCGGAAGAACATCAAGCAAACTGGGGGGAGAGGCAGCTTAGGCTGCCCCTGGGGGACCCTGCCATGAGGCCCCAGGGGATGTGAGGAGATCGGAGCACTGTTTGCCTGAATCCCGACAGACGAACCCTGCTGTCTAGAAGCCATCAGAGGAAGAGAGTGCCAGGGCAGAGCTGCGTAGCCATGTGGAAGCAGGGTGAGAGAGGGCGGGGGTCCCTGAGCCGTGGAGGACTGCAGAGCTGTAGGAAGTGCCTCAAAGCTTGCCCGAAGATTGGAGTGTGCTAAGTCACAACGGTGCAGCTAAACCCCCTCTGGGTAGCACTTGCCCCCAGTTCCCTTGCACTGTGGCAAAAATAGCCCTTCCGTGAGTCAGGGCCCCGGGCACACAGCCCCGGGAGAGAGAGTGGGAGTCTCCTACGGGCCCCTGCTCCTCCTAGGCAGACAAGGAAACCTATGAGGTGCGCTTTGTCCTGGGGTGCAGGCTGCGGAGAGGGAGCAGAGCCTGCCCCCGGCTGCTCCTGTCTGTCCATCACACTTGCTTCGCTGTGTGCGAGTTTGAGGCCTGCAGTCCTGGACAGAGCAGTTTCCCACCCCACCCCCAGGCTTGGAGAAGTCGGCTCTCTTCCGAACTGCTCCTCACTCCTGGATCCCTTGCTCCCTCCCTAGCCTTTCTTTCTTAAACTCTCTCCCACCCGCTCAGGCCTGCTGAGTCCTCTCCCCAGGAGACCCAGACAGACAGGTCTCCTGGGCCTGCTGCACAGGGCTCCCCTCCCCTGTCTTCCTGGAATGCACAGGACAATGTCCCCCCCACCCCCCTGCCAGTCACTCACCCAGAAAAACTTGCCATTCTCCCGCCTCGGGCCTCGTGTCGCTGCCTGTTCTTTCCGAGCCCACTGTGCCTGTTCCAGGGCAGGCCTCCATGGCACCAGCCCCCCGCCCCGACAGGTGACTGCCTCAGTCTCCCCACCACCATCTCTATCAGTGCTTGTTTGGTAGGGCCCTTCTCTGCAACACCAGCTTGATCCAACCCTTCCACGGCTCCCTGTTTTCTACAAATTAAAGTCCAAATCACACCTGCCTGTCTTTCCAAATGCCGAGTCCCCTGATCCATTCTAGGCCTTGCTCCCTGACCCCTCCCCCATCCAAACCTTGTAAAGGCCACGCCCACACAGCACCTGCTTTCCTCCCATCAGCCTGTGCTGCTACAGTGGTCTCTGCCTAAAGCTTGCTCTCTCTCCTCCCTCTTCTTACGAGGATCCTTCCCGGCCTGCAAAGCCCCATTCAGACCTGACCCTGCCCAGATCAATGCTGTTTTCTCCATGTTGTCATTGGTGGCACCAGCCTCTGCAGCCACCACTGTGCAGACGCGGTCTGACCTGTGCCGTGTTGAAGGGTCTACCTGCTGCCCTGACCAAATGCAAACAGCGCTGTTAGACCTGGCCTCACACTGTACCTGCCCCTCCCCCAGCATCCTGTGCAATGACCCACGTCTCCCTTGTTAAATTGAATGACTTGTAGTTTCAAAGAGGCCCTGCACGATCTTGCCCCGGCCAAGCTGTCAGCGTTCCAGCCAGCAACCTTACCGCTTAACCCACAGTCTTCAAAGGGGCTTCAGGACCGGCTCCACGAGCATGGGTCCCCTGAGCCTCCACCGCACCTGTCTTCCCAAGCTGAAGGACGCAGTAGTCGGTGCAGGCAGAGGAGAGAGGAGGGTGAGCCTCACGGGCTGTGATCATCCTAAGTGCAGCCCTCTGTGGGTGAGGCGTCCTGGGGACCCCCAGGCCAAAGGAGCAGGTAGCCCCGACAGTGACGCTTCAGCATGGACAGCAATGCCTCGTGACCATGTGTGGCTGCTGGGACTGGGTGCCAATCACTGCTGCTTCCCTAGCCAGATCCTTTCTCTTCTTTCTCCCTCTCACCAGAACTTTCTCTAACTGAGCAGTGGTGTGCTCAGGTTAAATGACTCATTTTTATGAATTTTTCATGATTTTTTTAAATTTTGACACCCTTTTATGAGTTACACAGATTTATTTTTAAAAAGATCTTATTCATGTATTTGAGAGGCAGAGTTACAGACAGAGAGAAGGAGAGACAGAGAGAAAGGTCTTCCATGTGCTGGTTCACTCCCCAAATGGCCACAGCAGCCAGAGCTGGGCCAATCCAAAGCCAGGAGCCAGTTTCTTCCAGGTCTCCCATGCAGGTGCAGGAGCCCAAGCACTTGGGCCATCTTCCACTGCTTTCCCAGGCCATAGCAGAGAGCTGGATTGGAAAAGGAGCAGCTGGGATACGAACCAGTGCCCACATGGGATGCTGGCGGTGCAGGCAGAGGCTTAGCCTACTACACACCACAGCGCTGGCCCATTTTTCTGACTTCTGTGCAACTGTGGGTGTCCCTATCACTCCCTTCTAGCCAAGGAGCCAGGAATAAGAATTCCAAAAATGACACAGTGATGTGTGTCCCCTGCCCTTTGATCCTTTCTCTCCTACTTCTTCCCCTCCTCCTGTTTCATCAGAAATGTGGATGTGATGCCCGGAGGTGAAGCAGCCATTTTTGCAACCATGAAGAAAAGAAGTCACTGATAAGGATGGCAGGGCAAGGAGCTGCAAAGAGCACTCTGGAGTTCCAGCTGTGTCAGGTAATTCAGCTCCTTCACACGAAGCCGCAGTAGTAGCTGGTTTTCCTCTCCATGCGGCCAACACAATCCTAACTGACATGAAGGGGGTGGGACAGCGCATGTTCGAGTGTGCATGTGCACATGTGTGCGTGTGTGCCTGCGTGTGCTGGGGGCAGCCTTTTGTCCCGAGGAAGCAGAAATTCAGCACAGGTCCTCCCCAGGAGACCTCCACCTGCCTGCCTCTCTCAGCCCCGTTCGTGCCCACCGGACCAGAGCCGGGACACCAGCACCATGCACACCAGCAAGGGAGTGGGCCCTGCACCGCGCCTGTCCTCAGTGCCATCTTGATGTCGGGGAAGGGGAGGAAGCAAAGGCAGTGGGAGTGGAGGCGGGGGGTTGGGGGCGATGGGGTGGGGGCGGAAATAAAATCACACACACACACACACACACACCAGAAGATTCTAAGCCAAGTAGGGAAAAAGCACCACCCAAGGCCTGGGTGGGGTTTTGTTTCTCAGTGAAAAATCCACCCGTTTCACTATTGCCTCATTAACTTGAACTTGTCTCCTAAGTGTGAGCTGGCACCTCGAGGTTCCCGTCTCTGATTGTGAGCATTGATTGTCCACGCCAGAGCCCGTGACCGCCCCTGCACCCTGCCCTTCCATGGGGCAAAGACCCGTCCACTCGCCACTTCCCAGTGAGTGCAGATGGGAGGCACGCGGACATTTGGAGAGGATGACGTTGGAAATTCAAGACACAACGGCTCCCAAGACGAGACCGGAATAGCTCAGTGTTTCTGCTCTCCCAGGCCTGGAGCCTGACAGCCCGTTAGCGTAAGCAGGCGCCTGCCCTCCCCGCCCCTCCCTGGGTGTCTGGAGCCAGCGCTCATGGGGAGAGGCACCTGTTTATCATCATCCACTTTCTTCCAGGCCACTGGAGGCAGGTGCAGAGGTCTGGAGCCCGGAGGAAGTGTGGGGTCCCAGCAGGCACCCCCATCCAGCGTGCGGCACAGCTCTGCAGGAAGCAGTGACCCAACAGGCCGTCACGTTTGCTGGGCAGGGAAGGCTGATGGGGTCTTCTTGCTCTCCCACTCCCTCCCCAAGCCTGCCTGGAGTTTAGAAAAAAAAAAAAAACAGTGAAGGTGATTGGCAGCTGGAGGCCAGTTGAACTTCTGTATCAGGAAGCCACATGAACCCTTCAGACTAAGTGAGCGAAGAGAGGACCCTCCCTGCAGGGCAAACAGTCCCAATAGGCAAACCTACATTTCTCCCAAGGGTGCCCGGGCTGTGTGCTGGCCTGCTTGGGGGAAGGGGTCACCTCTGCCGACACTGGACATCTGAGAGCGTGGGTCAGCAGACCACTGTGGCCAGAGGCGCTCCTGCCCTGTCTGCTTCCAACTCTGGGCCCCTGACATGTCCCCTGACATGCTCCCAGGCAGTCGCCTCTCGGGTGATGCCATGGGCGGAACTGCTTCTGTGGCCAGAGGCGTGTTCGATGCCCGCCATCTCTGTGGATGTGCGGTTTTCAGGCCTCCGAGTGGCCTTAGATCCGGCTGGCTGCAGGTGAGAGGCACGAAGCCCTCTCCCTGCTGGCTGTTCGCTGTGGCGTGAGCCCTCTACAGAGCCCTCGGCTCCTGGCTGCTCCCCAGCACCTGCGACAGAGAGAATCCGCGTCGCCTTCCTCCATGTAGCTGGGCACTAACTCAGACCAGGAGGCAGGAGCCGTGACTCAGCCCTGGGACTGCTTCAGTTGTTTTCTCTGCTCTCAGAGGGGGAGGAACTTGAGGACAGGAAGGGTGCCTGGTTTGTGTTTTTAGCCTTCTCCCCTGTGCCTATGTAATTGGTGTACAAGGAATAGTTGCTGAGTGCAAAGGGTGGGAATGATATGGACCGAGAAAATCAAGGTGCACACATCATGAGTTCCACTCTCTGAAGTGCTGGTGCTGCACCTTGTGTGGCAGGTGGGAGACTTGGGGCGAGAAGGTGTGGGAGGGGCGAGCTGGGAGGCAGGCGCCTGGGGACATGGCCCAAAGGTCTGGAGCGCGGGAGACTCCATCTTTAAGGTTGGCGCAAGTTGATGTCCAGAGACCTCCCTCCCCCTCCACTGGGCTCCTCTGCAGTGGAACTTTGCCCCGTGGGGTCTCTTCCTTCAGTCTGGGTGGGCTCATTTCGAGCAAGGAAAAGAGGCAGGAGCATCATTATATAACCTTCTAGACGGGGCTGAAGGAGCCTTCAACTTGTGCCTCTCCTGTTCAGAACACAGCCTCATGGACGCCAAGCTGCCTCCCTCAGACTGCCCTGCTGGGGAGGGTCCCGAAGTCATCGTGGCTGTGCCCAGCCCAGCCCAGCTCCCAGCTGAAGGCAGCCCCTCAGCTGACCTTGGCTGGGAACCACCTGGAAGGATCTTGTGCAAATTCCTCTCCTGCAGATCAGGAGCAAATAAAATGGCTCTTTTTCTCTCTCTTTTTTCATTTATTTTTATTTATTTGAAAGGTAGAGCTACACAGAGAGAGAGAAATCTTCCTCCCCAAATGGCTGCAATGGCTGAGGCTTGGCCAGACTGAAGCCAAGAGCCGCTGCTTTCCCAGGTGCATTAACAGGGAGCTGGATTAGAAGTGTAGCAGCCAGGGCTCAAACTGGTGCCCATTTGGGATGCCAGCGTCATGGGCGGTGGCTTAACCCATTTAGCCACAACGCCAGCCCCGTCTGGTTTCCAATGTGAAGTCAGGCCTTTTATCTTGCAGCAGTAGGTAACTGAAAGATGACAAACCCCCAGCCCCTGCCCGGAATCAGATTCTCCAGGGTTGGGGCTGGGCCTCTGTGTTTTTACAGGGTCTCCCTGGGACCACTTGTTGAGTCTGCATTGCCTCTCCCACAGGCGGCTTCCTGTGTGACTCACACACAACACAGCACACATGAAGTGAGCCTGAGCTGCAGCAGCCAGGGACGCAGGCAGGGAGAGAGATGAGGCAGAAATAACCCAGACGCGTGCATCACGAGTCCCCTCTGCGTGCCCATGCTGCACCTCGCGTGGCAGGAAGGAGAAAGGGGGAGACAGGAGGCAGGCTCCCTGGAGCACGGCTCACAGCCCTGGTGCCCAGCGGCCTCCTCTGGGCAGCGTCTCCAAAACCGTGGCAAGCTGGATCCCCAGGGACGGCCTCAGTGGTCTCGCCTGTGCCTTGTGCTCTTCTGGAGTGGAACTTTGCAGGAGGGGTCTGGTCCAGAAAGGCAGCCTTGGAATGAGCAGGGCATAAGAGACCTCTGTACCCAGAGCCCGAACCAGGCAGATTCAGGAGAGTCGGGGGAAACTGAGCCATGGAGTCTTTGAGCCGGATGTGATCTTAAAGAGTATTTTACAAGTTGGGAGCCCAAGGCCCAGAGAGGGAAATGGTCTTGTTCAGAGACACACAGCTTGTGGCCAAGTTGTGTCAGGCGGGACATGAAGCAAGCTATTTTCAGGTCCCAGCTGCCCTATGCTGAGCGTGAACAAGAGAACTTGTGGCAGGAGAGGCCAAGGTCGGCCGGGTGGGACGTCCTCTTCCTGTGGTCACAGTGGGCTAAATGAGCAGGCTGCGGAATTGATTTCTTTGGGGAACAGTTTGTGCTTGGCAGAGGGATCCATAGTGCTGTCTGCAGATGCGTGCCCCAGAGCGAGGCGGGGGAGGCTGGGAGGGAGCAGCAGCGGCACTGGCGTCCAGGATTTGCCACTTCACGCTGAGGGTCTGGAACAAGTTCCTCTCGTTCTCTGAGCCCCAGTTTCCCCATCGGCTAAGATGCTGTGAATGAGACGGCTGGCGCTGTGGAGCAGCAGGGAAAGCCACTGCCCAGGGTGCCGGCATCCCCTATTGGCGCAGATTTGAGTCCTGGCTGCTCCACTTTCCATCCAGCTCCCTGCTAATGGGCCTGGGAAAGCAGTAGAAGATGGCCCAAGTCCTTGGGCCCCTGCACCCACGTGGGAGACCCAGAAGAAGCTCCTGGCTCCTGGCTTCTGATCAGCACAACTCTGGATATTGTGGCCATTTGAGGAGTGAACCAGCGGAAGGAAGACCGGTCTCTTTCTCTCTCTGCTTCTGCCTGTAACTCTGCCTTTCAAATAAACATTAAGTCTTTTCTAAAAAATGTTAATGGGATTTATCACCTTGTCCCTAGGGGTTACCATGAAGATCGGCTCAGCAATACTTGTTTCTTAGCTCTCCTGTGCTCACTCAAGCCACTTTGGTGAGTCCCTATGCCGAGCTTCACCTGTAACCAGCACCTATCTTGTGCCTGCTGTGTGCCTGCCATGTGTCTGGCACAAGGCTAACCATGTCACATGTGTCACCTCTGGGGATCTGCATGACAAGCTTGTGGTGGAGACAAGGAGATTGAGCCTGAAAGAGTTGGAGCAATTTGCCTAAAGTTGCTCCGCTGATGGGTGGCAGAGCCAGGAGTGCCATCTGGGTGTAAAACAGGCTTTTGCCTGTGGAAGCCATGACCGTGACTCACAGCTCTCAGGCCCCTTCGTCCCAGGAGGAGACGCTGGTTCCAAGAGAGTCCAACTCCATGGCAAAGCGACCAGCCATCCCCTCCCCTACGTGAGGCTGAGGTCCCGGCACCTGTCCCTGCCCTCTGTTGCTTTGCATGACCAGAAGCATTAGCCAGACGTGGGCAGAAGTTGTGTCCTTTGTCCCAGCAATCCGTTGAGAGGAAGTGCAGGCCAGTGTTTTGCTGCTTTGAATGGGTCATTTGTCTTGCTCACTCCATGTGAGCCTCCTGCTCTCTGCACTGTTAGATTAGATTTCTGCCTGTGATAAAAGGAGGGTGTTTTACAGCTCTTCTCCCCTGCAAGTACTGGTGAGGGACACAGGTTTGGCTGGAGATGTCATTGTCATCTCCATCATTTAACGTCTGCTAACTGCCCCAGCGTGCTTGCCCGGCTCAGGAGTGCTCGGGGAGGACAAGGTCAGCTGCAGCAGTGGGCACTTCCTCCCCCAGGATGCCCAGATGCAAATCTCCAGCTGCAAGTCAAATATCCCCAAGGCTCGCCCACACAGGTGCGCTCGGACAAACACATCCCCCCGGCCAGTGTTTCTCAAGCTAGAGCTTGCCTCGCCGTCACCAAGGGGGCTTGTTAGAACACAGATTGCTGGGCCTGTCTCCAGGGTCACTGATGCTTCTGGTCAGGGAACCACATTTTGCAATCCAGTGCACTAAGACACCAACTGCATCTAGACGTTGATATGTGAACTCAAGTGCAGGTGCACTTCGGATACACTTGATCAGACAGGGCCCTGCCCTGTCTTCAGCATCCTCTGGCCACACCCTCTCCCTTGCCTTTTGGATACCAACGTCTCCAGCCTCTTTGCATCCTTCAAGTCTATGTCTCCTGCTTCCAGGGAAAAGAGAAGGGAGAGCAGCAAACTGAGCAGGAAGGCCAGAAGTCTTGCTTCTGGGAAACAGCAATGGATTTGGGGGACAAGAGAGTTCCCACTGTGGGCAGAACAAGACATGAAATCACTCTCCCTGCCTGGAACACGGTTCTTCCTACTCTTTGTTGCGTGAATGCTTCCTCCCCTTCCACATCTCAGGTCTAAGATCCCCTTTGTCAATAGAGCCTTCCTTGCTCTGCCCCTACCCCTCCCGACCACCACCATCAGATGAGCACAAACTCTCACCATAGGCGTCAATCTTTACAGAGTTCTTCGTGCCCTCGGGGCAGGTGATTTTCTTTCTTTCTTTCTTTTTTTAACGATGTATTTATTTATTTGAAAGTCAGAGTTACACAGAGAGAGAGGAGAAGCAGAGAGAAAGAGAGAGAGAGAGAGAGAGAGAGAGGTCTTCTAT